ACCAATTTTTTTCCTGTGTGGCATTGCCCAATATTGACTCCTCCCCCCCCCCCACACCACCCATCCACCCCACCCCCACCACCACCTCTTGATCTTCACGCATGAACGATCGGAAATGATATTTTTAAAAGATTATATAATGTCATATAGTTTATGTTATTTTATACCTCTACACAGAAAAATTACACAGGTGTATTAAACTTGGAGATCAGCTTAACCTAGTCTCTAGCGTTTAGTACCTTCACACAGTGGTCCCCAAATGGCGGTCCGTGGACCTTCACCGGTCCGCATGCCTAACGCTGCCGGTCCCCATAACATACATATTTATGGCGAAATGGAAATAAAAATATAAAAATAAATCATGCATCGGTCCCTAGTAAAATTTCGAAACTTATTCACCGGTCCGCCAAACTTAAACGTTTGGGAACCACTGCCTCAACACATAACAATTGCACAATTGTTAAAATATGTAAATGTATGCAAAGAGATCAGCTTAAATAAATCAGTCTCAAGCCGTAGATTAATTACATATAGATTAATTCAGATTGCCATGGTGTGTGGGCCATCGGGCCGCAGGGCGAGAAGCATTGTTCAGAAAGTGCAACTGTCTCTAAAGCGCCAAGTCTACGCTTGATGTATTCCTCGTCACACCGACGATGAAACGAACTACAGCATTATTGTGGCCCCCCCAAAAAATATTTGCGGGGCGTCTTCACAGATGGCGAATTGTGAACTTCCGCATGCAGCCCCGTGACACCGCACCATTTTAAATGACGCACACTGTGTGCATCGGGGTTTTCCCGAAATCCGTTCCACACTACACGTGCATTAGAATACACTGTCAGGAGAAAGTCTCTTGTACAGAAGGTCTACAATAAATGGCTGGCTTTCTCAGCATTCACACTTTTTTTTTTTTTTTTACAAGAAAGGACAAGCCAGATGGGCAAAGGCCAGGCAGCAGACTGCCTAAACAACTAAATATTATGACGAACTATCCATGGGGACCGCTCAGCTGATAGACAGAAAGAATGTATCCAACATTGTCCCAGAAGTGTGTCATTTGAACTGATGGAAGTTGACTTGAATTCATGGGAACCGTTTGCTTTGGGTCGCACAATCTGACCAGGCAGACTACACTGTCGGAGCCCATTGTTCGAGAGATCAACCACACCGCTCCCTCCCCCAAAGACAGCGCACAGCTTGGAAAAGCGTTAATGCGTGTTTATCGAAATGAACGTTGATTGGACTGTTCTAAAAATAGAATTCTCTGCAACTGCCACTTTTTGGTTTTTATAAGATATAATATCAACCTGACTTTGATCACACTCTCTTTTATTTTAAAATATGAATTTGTTAAAATATCGTTTTTTTTGTTAATTCCCTTTGACTTCCTCCAGAAATATGTAATTCGGGCTAATTGTAATTTAATTTTAAAGAATAATAAAAAAAAAAAAAAGAATAATAATGAATAAGTGACTTTAAAATGATAAAAATCTGCTTTTTGGAATTCGGCAAATTGAAAACCGATTTTTGTTCGGTTACTAGCGTCCATTATTATTATTAAAAAAAAAAAAGGAATTAAACAATAAATTATTATACTTTATATTTAAAAAAAAAAATGGACGGAAGTTATTAATGAATGAATTTTAATCAAAATATTGCTGTAAATAAATTAAACATCCCAATTAAAATAAAGTATTTCGTCTATATCTGTTATAAAATGTAACATCGAGCAATGGGGTTGAACATTTAACAAAACATGCATTCAAGAAACGGCGCATGGGCAATAAAAGGTGCGAAGCGAGAGACTCGGCCACGTAATAGAATTCCACCAACAACAGAGACTGAGAGAGCGACCAATGTCCAAGCGTTGGGTGATGTGTTAAGTGTCCTCATAATGAGCAGATCTGGGAAACGTTTCGAGCGGACCAGGGATATGTTGCGATATGTTAATTAGAAAGTTGTGCCACCCACTACCACTAAGTTAAAAAAAAAACCAAAAAAAAACCCACTTCAGCTCGCCGAAAATGCCGCCTCTCAATATAATTTTTTTTAAAAGTGGCACCTGTGTGGACCACCCCTCCACGGCCCCCTTCCTATGCATGTGGATTGACGTTTTCTCGACAATTGTGAATCATAGTAGGCAAATAAGCTATTTAAATGGTCTCTGGTTGGTCACATGGGCGCCCGCAGAAAACTTTCTAAGGGGGGGGGGGCAAAAAAATCGATTAATT